GCCCCTGGGTCTTGCCCAAAGCTACTACATACCCAAGTTGTATTTCCAATAGATTCATATTGTGCAACCTCTGTTGTTGTTTTTGTTTTATTTCTGGCAGGTGACAGTGACACTGAAGTGAAGCCAAGCACCGAGGAGCTGGAAAATCAGAATCAAGAAGAAGGTTTGTGTAGTGCTGAGCTGTGTTAAAACATTCTATCACCCTCGCTTTCTCTACCTTGGTGAACAATAATCCCAGTCAATGCTATTGACTGAAAGCGTTTGTACATTTTCACCGGATTAAGTCGGGGCTTGTGCAGTTCTCCCATTGGGAGACCAGGGCTCTATTCATTATGAATGAATGTATTCCTTCCAGCTCAGGAATGCAGTCTTTCCTGTCAGTAACTGCCAGCACATTCACTTCTTAAGGTGGAATAGATCCCAGAAACCCTTTAAATGGAAAGTGTTTTCAACAGGATAGTAGATGGTTCGCATATCAAAGGCAGAATGGAATGTGGAAAAATGGAGCTTGTGATACATGCACATTTTGTATTTGGGCTTCCAAGTAACTATTTTTGAGGCAGCATTGGAGAAATTGGATTACTGATATTCAGAACCAATGCACAACAATCTCAAAACAGAAAATGGGTATTAAAACTTATAAAGGAGTGATTTGAACCAAACCGTGCTTATATATTCTGAATAATGCTTTTAAGAGAGGGCATTTTAAGTATGAAAAATTGGTAAGCTGCATTCAAACCAATATCTTTTCCTTTATGTGCAGGCATGTAGCCGGGGGGGGGGGGGGGGTAAATAAAAATGTAATGTTAGTTCGTGCTACCATCAGAACTCAAAAACCACTGGGGGAATTGACACCAAATTTGGACACAAGACACCTAACAGTCCAATTTATGTCCTCCACTCAAAAAAAAATGATTTTGTCATTTGGGAATTGTCGTTGCTGGGATTTATAGTTTACCTACAATCAAAGAGCATTCTGAACTCCACCAATGATGGAATTGGGCCAAACTTAGCACACAGGGCTCCCATGACCAACAGAAAAAACTGGAAAGGTTTGGTGGACATTGACCTTGAGTTTGGGAATTATAGTTCACCCACATCCAGAGAGCACTGTGGACTCAAACAATGATGGATCTGGACCAAACTTGGCACGAATATTCCATATGCCCAAATATGAACACAGATGGAGTTTAAGGGAAATAGACCTTGACATTTGGGAGTTGTAGTTGCTGGGATTTATAGTTCACCTACAATCAAAGAGCATTCTGAACTCCACCAATGATGGAATTGAACCAAACATGGCATACAGGACTTCCACGACCAACAGAACACACTGGAAGGGTTTGGTGGGCATTGACCTTGAGTTTGGGAGTTGTAGTTCACCTACATCCAGAGAGCACTGTGGACTCAAACAATGATGGATCTGGACCAAACTTGACACAAATATTCCATATGCCCAAATATGAACACAGATGGAGTTTGGAGGAAATAGACCTTGACATTTGGGATTTGTAGTTACTGGGATTTATAGTTCACTACAATTAAAGAGCATTCTGAAACCCACAAACGACAGAAATGGGGCAAACTTCCCACACAGAACCCCCATGACCAACGGAAAATACTTAAGGCCATCCAGTCCAACTCTCTTCTCCAGGGCAAGAAAATGTAATCAGAGCCCTCCTGACAAAGAGCCATCCAGTCATAAATATAGATAGATAGATATGATTATCTTACACACACACAGATATCATAGATTTGAAAGAGACCCTTAAAGAAGGACAATTATATGTTGCATGTTCCAGAGTAGGCAAACCAGACACTCTCCACATCAACACTGACAAAGAAACAACAAGAAATACTGTTTACTCACAAGCATAAAGGAATTACATATATTAGAAACCAACACTTTCTCATTACTTTATTTTCCAGATCACCAGACTGGGCCACAGCAACGCGTGGCAGGGGACAGCTAGTACTCAATATATCCCATATGCATGGTGGTATTGGGGTAACGATACAAAAGGTTTGCTAGGGTAGACCCTCTTTCACTCAGACTCAGCCCCCCCCGAAACAAACTCAGCCCCCCCCCCCCCGAATCCTGGCTACAGGCCTTTATGTGTGTCGTATAAATTTGCCCACCATGGCCTCAGAGCAAGTCATGATAACTAGATTTGTCAAAATAACTGAAGCAACAGGTAAACATTGCTACCAAGCCCCTTATCCCCAAAGATATTGCATTATATACTCCACGTAGTTTAAACAGCACACTCTATGTCCTCAGTGACCCACCTCGCCCACACTAATGGTATATTCTGTTGCTTGCACATATTTAATTCAGGTAACATGACCCATCTCTTCATGAAAACTTTTCTATCAGCTTTGAAAGCTTTTATTAATACTTAGAAGCAACAGCGAGAGAGGCCCAATCACTCAATGCAGCAGAGCGAAGCCGCCAAGCTATCCAGCCTACATTACTGAGTCATTTGGTCTGTGTATACCGCATTGTGGATGTTTCTAAAGAGCTGAATTTATGTTGCAGCAGAATCCCCTCCATCTTTGCCTCCTGTTATGGTCTGGAGGAGAAGCACTGTATAAGCAATCCCCACTTCTTCCACGGGCTGTGATTATTCAAAGGTTTATTTTTTTGTAGATGCAATGTTCTCCTGTAGCTTTCAGATTTAAGCTGGCTTTATCCGCCTCCACCCCATATATGATGGCACCTTTATATCTGCTTAGTAAGTGTTTGCACATGTGCAGTCATGCGCTCAGGCTTCATTGAGACTTGAAATGAAAACCCATTTTGAAGTAACCCCGTTTGCATCCTTCATGTCGAAGCACAATTTTTTATTTTGGTTATGTTTGTTATATTATAATGTTTGTTATATTATTACAGCGTTTCATGAAGGTGTTTTTTCTGCATTGGTGATGCAATTTTCTCTCCGGTGCCACTTCCACCCAAATGATACAATATAGATCAAGAATCCTCAAACTAAGGCCCAAGGGCCTGAGGCGGCCCTCCAAGGTCATTTACCCGGCCCTCGCTCAGGGTCAACCTAAGTCTGAAATGACTTGAAAGCACACAACAACAACAACAATAATCCTATCTCATCAGCCAAAAGCAGACCCACACTTCCCACTGAAATACTAATAAGTTTATATTTGTTTAAATTGTTCTTCATTTTAATTATTCTATTGTTTTAAAGTGGTTTTTTTGCACTACAAATAAGATAGGAATTCATTCATGCTTTTTTCAAATTATAATCCGACCTTCCAACAGTTTGAGGGGCTGTGACCTGGCCCTCTGTTTAAATAGATTTTTTAAAATAAATTTTTATTAAACAGTTTAAAATATAAATACATGGAAAGAGGGGAAATATTTAGAGAGAAGATAGAAAAGTAGGAAATACAATCATAAAAGCCACTACCAAGAAAAAAGAGAAAGAAGAAAAAAAGAAAGAAAAAATACTAAAGTACTAAAATACGAAAATACAAAAAAAATGACTTCCATTCCAATCTCAGGATCTTCTTATCTTTTATTTCATTACCTCTTCTTTGTTTCTTTCTCTTTTCTATTCTTTTCATAGTCATAAAAAAGAACCCAGTCTGTCTTTTTTATAGATTTCCCGGTATTTTTCTTTAGCAAAAAAGTTAACTCGTCCATGTCTCTTATTTCTTTTACCTTGTCCACCCACTCATCCACCGTGGGGATTTGTTCTTTTTTCCAAAATTTTGCAAAAATAATTCTAGCCGCTGTTGTAATAAATGTCAATAGTTTATCTTCATTTTCATCCAGTTGTAATTCCAAGTCAGTTTTTTTTTTGTCGTGTCGGGAGTGACTTGAGAAACTGCAAGTCACTTCTGGTGTGAGAGAATTGGCCGTCTGCAAGGATGTTGCCCAGGGGACGCCTGGATGATTTTGATGTTTTTATTATCCTTGTTGGGAGGCTTCTCTCATGTCCCCACATGAGGAGCTGGAGCTGATAGAGGGAGCTCATCCGCCTCTCCCCGGATTCCAACCTGCGACCTGTTGGTCTTCAGTCCTGCCGGCACAGGGGTTTAACGCACTGCGCCACTGGGGGCTCCAAGTCAGTAAAGCCCAACAAATAATATTCTGTTTTTTTCTTAAACTTTTTGTTTAAGATTTTTTGTGTTTCCTCGTGGATTAAAGACCAATATTTAGTAGTTTCCTTGCATGTCCACCACATATGATAGAATGTACCTACTTCTTCACAACATTTCCAACACTTATCCGATGTATTTTTGTACATATAGCTTAATTTCTTTGGAGTGATGTACCATCTGTGGAACATTTTAAACCAGTTCTCCGTCAGATCCATAGCATAAGTGTATTTTAACTTTTTGTTCCACATTTGTTCCCACTCCCTGAATTGAATTGGTCTCCTGTTTAAAAAGTTTGAGGGCCTTTGATATAGATACTTGCTTCATCCTGGGAGTTTTGTTTCCAAGACATCCCGGATCTTTACATCTGAAAAATACAAAAAGCCCTTCTGATTATTTTAATGCATCAGAATTGAACAAACATGATAATGGATTTCTTTTTAAGTCCTTCTTGGAGATAGAGTAATGTAATTGGAGGTAGAGATTTTGTGGTCTGTTTCGAAGACCTTTCTCCTTGACTGTTTTACATGAAGTCTTGGAGGAAGACATGTGAATTTTCAGGCATCTCCTCCACCTTCATTCCATGTGAGAAGAGATCGCTACTAGTGTTTACCCATGTAAGGCTGAACTACAGGAAAGGTTTAGCATAGCTTTGGAAACAAAAATCCATGTGAAGGCGGGGGGCAGTTATTTTCTGTAGATTGTGGATTTTCCCTGTGAATTCAAAAGTTTGAAGGTCCCCCAAAAGACAGTCTGTCACAACCTTCCTAGGTTCAAAGAACTCACCAACTGTGCAAAGCTTCAACGTAAAACAAACCTATCAGAAACCAAAATGGCTAAGACTATTCTAAATAGAACATTCAGACTTCTACCTTAGGTTGGAATAAGACATGTTTAGCCTGCAGAAGAGAAGGCTGAGAGGAGACATGATCAGGGCCATGTATGAATAATATGTGAGGGGAAGTCATAGGGAGGAGGGAGCAGGCTTGTTTTCTGCAGCCCTGGAGACTAGGGCACGGAACAATGGCTTCAAATTACAGTAAAGAAGATTCCACTTGAACATTAGGAAAAACTTCCTAACTGTGAAAGTTGTTCAGCAGTGGAACTCTCTGGCCGAGCATGTGTTGGAGGCTCCTTCTTTGGAGGCTTTAAAGTAGAGACTGGATGGCCATCTGTTGGGGGTACTTTGAATATGATTTTCCTGCTTCTTATCAGGGGGGTTGGACTGGATGACCCACTTAGATGAAGGGCTAGAAAGCAGGATCATCAAGTTTGCAGATGACACCAAATTGGGAGGAATAGCCAATACTCCAGAGAACAGGAGCAGAATTCAAAACGATCTTGACCAGGGGTCCTCAAACTATGGCCCGGGGGCCGGATACGGCCCTCCAAGGCCATTTACCCAGCCCTCGCTCAGGGTCAACCTTAGTCTGAAACGACTTGAAAGCACACAAGAACAACAACAACCCTATCGCATCAGCCAAAAGCAGGTCCACACTTCCCATTGAAATACTAATACGTTTATGTTTATTAAAATTGTTCTTAATTTTAATTATTGCATTGTTTTTAAGTGTGTTTTTTTTGCACTACAAATAAGATATGTGCACTGTGCATAGGAATTCATTCATGTTTCAAATTATAATCCGGCCCTCCAACAGTTTGAGGGACTGTGACCTGGCCCTCTGTTTAAAAAGTTTGAGGACCCCTGATTTTGACAGATTAGAGAGATGGGCCAAAACTAACAAAATGAAGTTCAACAGTGACAAATGCAAGATACTTAGGCAGAAAAAACGAAATGCAAAGATACAGAATGGGGGACAATGCCTGGCTCGAGAGCAGTATGTGTGAAAAAGATCTTGGATAGCAAGTTAAACAGGAGCCAACAATGTGATGTGGTGGCAAAAAAAAGCCAATGGGATTTTGGCCTGCATCAAGAGGAGCACAGTGTCTAGATCTAGGGAAGTCATGCTCCCCCTCTATTCTGCCTTGATCAGACCACACCCGGAATATTGTGTCCAATTCTGGGCACCACAATTCAAGAGAGATATTGACAAGCTGGAATGTGTCCAGAGGAGGGCGACTAAAATGATCAAGGGTCTGGAGAACAAGCCCTATGAGGAGCGGCTTAAGGAGCTGGGCATGTTTAGCCTGAAGAAGAGAAGGCTGAGAGGAGATATGATAGAGTAAATTAATAAATAATAATAATATTTATTTATTTGATCAGTCATATGACCATTTCAAAATAGAACACGAGTAAAAAACAAGGCAACAAGGTGGAGACAGTAGCTGACCTTCTATTTATAGTCAGAATCTTATTTTCCTGGTTCTTCTTTCAGGAAATCTGCCTTTTCTTAATAGCTTTCAGAATAAAAAGGCTTACTCTGATTATGCTGGATCTTTCCTGCCTTGCAAGAGGGATGTCAGAATATCATTTCTGTTGGGGGACCTGCAGTTGGATAATATTGGATGTAAATATCTGTCTCGCAGTTCAGTATATGCTGGACAGTCAATTAAGAAATGTTCAATGTCTTCCACTGTTTGTTCTCCCCAGACGCAGAAATCTCTCACTTCTTGGGATGTTACAATAGCGCCCGGTTTGCACCATAGTATCGAGTTGTTCAAACCTAGCCCTAGTATATAGCCATGTATAAATATGTGAGAGGACATCACAGGAAGGAGGGTGCAAGCTTGTTTTCTGCTTCCCTGGAGACTAGGACGCAGAACAATGGCTTCAAAGTACAAGAATGAGATTCCATCTGAACATCAGGAAGAACAGAGGCTGGATGTCCATCTGTCAGGGGTGATTTGAATGCAATATTCCTGCTTCTTGGCAGGGGGTTGGACTGGATGGTCCATGAGGTCTCTTCCAACTCTTTGATTCTATGATTCTATGACTGTGAGAGCCGTTCAGCAGTGGAACTCTCTGCCCCGAGAGTGTGGTGGAGGCTCTTCTTTGGAAGCTTTTAAACAGAGGCTGGATGGCCATCTGTCAGGGGTGATTTGAATGCAATATTCCTGCTTCTTGGCAGGGGGTTGGACTGGATGGCCCATGAGGTCTCTTCCAACTCTTTGATTCTATGATTCTATGACTGTGAGAGCCGTTCAGCAGTGGAACTCTCTGCCTTGGAGTGTGGTGGAGGCTCCTTCTTTGGAAGCTTTTAAACAGAGGCTGGATGGCCATCTGTCAGGGGTGATTTGAATGCAATATTCCTGCTTCTTGGCAGGGGTTGGACTGGATGGCCCATGAGGTCTCTTCCAACTCTTGGATTGAAGAACTTCCTACTGTGAGAGCCGTTCAGCAGTGGAACTCTCTGCCCCGGAGTGTGGTGGAGGCTCCTTCTTTGGAAGCTTTTAAACAGAGGCTGGATGGCCATCTGTCAGGGGTGCTTTGAATGCAATATTCCTGCTTCTTGGCAAGGGGTTGGACTGGATGGCCCATGAGATCTCTTCCAACTCTATTATTATATGATCCTATGATTCTAAGTCCCACAGAATACAAGGAATCTTACCTTGGAGTGAGCATCCATTGCATTATGTTGCCTGTCAAATCTAGTTTTAGCCCGGGAGTCCTCTCTCCACTTTTGTAGTTGGAAGAAGGAACCTGGATTTTGCTCCCAATTTGCCCCATTAACCCATAAGAGAATTTATATAGAAACATAATGTCAAAAGGAACATCATCCTCAGCATCAAAAGGGGCACTTGTATAGTGTGCAGACCAAATAAAATGTGGTAAACATGAAGAATAATTAAGAATGTTACGAATTGGTAAATACTCCTAAGAAGAGTTGGAATACAAATGAGCAGAATAGCTATGTATTATACACATCACCTCAGAGGCAGAGTTGTTTACAGATCTAACTCTGTCCATTATGCCATTGAGGAACCAAAGAAAAGCACACAGCTGATGACATGAATAAGTTATGCATTTGAAAGCAGGTGCTAAGAGTTTATGTTCATTGCTAAACTCAAATTATAACCTAATAAGTATAATTTCTCTCTTTTAAAAAAACAGATGCAGCAAAACTGACAGTTACAAACAGCTCAACAGATGGAGGAGAGAACCTATGCAAGGAAAAAGGTACTGATAACAAAACTGACTTTTACAAAAACAACAAACTGCAAATCCCCAAAGGGGATTTTTTTTTTCAAAGAAGCAATATTTTCTGTTAAGCTCAGAAAGGCCAGATGTCAGATAAACAGTTCTGGGATGTCTTTTAGAAAATCTTTTTAATGAACTACTTGGCATCTTAGTTGTGCCAGTGGGGAATGTTGCCATGCATTTTCAACTACTATCATAGATTTCCCATAAAAAATATCTTCTGGGCCAAAGAAAAAGCTAATATCTCTATATGTTGAGGAGTGTTCAGATGGAGGCCCAATCTATGCTGCCAGATAAAATCGAGATTATCTACTTCGAACTGGATTATATTCATCTACATTGCCATGTAGACTACAGCAATGCTCTCTACGTGGGGTTACCTTTGAAGACTGTCCGGAAGCTTCAACTGGTCCAACGGATGGCAGGCAGGCTGCTAACTGGAGCGGCTCTCAGGAAGCATACAACCGCCCTGTTGCACCAGCTCCACTGGCTGCCAGTCTGATACCGGGCACAATTCAAGGTGCTGGTTATGCTGGTACGGCTGTACCAGGAGCTCCAACTTCTTTTCCTTTCTATTGAGTGTTTGCATGTATTCCAAAGTTCCATGCATTTTGCAATAAGGTGGCTTCCCTTGGTTTGCAATAATAGGGCCAATGACCCATCAATTATCATTATTAGGTTCTTGTGGGGTTTTTTGGGCTATAGGGCCATGTTTTAGAGGCATTTCTCCTGACGTTTCGCCTGCATCTATGGCAAGCATCCTCAGAGGTAGTGAGGTCTGTTGGAATTAGGACAATGGGTTTATATATCTGTGGAATGGCTGGGGTGGGGCAAAGAGCTTTCCCTGCTGGAGCTAGGTGTGAATGTTTCAACTGACCACCTTCATTAGCATTTGAAGGCCTGGCTGAGCCTGGAAAATCCCCTGTTGAGAGGTGTTAAGATGTGCCTGGTTGTTTCCTCTCTGCTGTTTTGCTGTTGTAATTTTAGAGTTTTTTAATACTGGTAGCCAGATTTTGTTCATTTTCATGGTCTCTTCCTTTCTGTTGAAATTGTCCACATGCTTGTGGATTTCAATGGCTTCTCTGTGTAGTCTGACATGGTGGTTGTTGGTGTGGTCCAGCCTTTCTGTGTTCTCAAATAATATGCTGTGTCCAGGCTGGTTCATCAGGTGCTCTGCTATGGCTGACTTCTCTGGTTGAAGTAGTCTGCAGTGCCTTTCATGTTCCTTGATTCGTGTTTGGGCAATGCTGCGTTTGGTGGTCCCTATGTAGACTTGTCCACAGCTGCATGGTGTACGGTAGACTCCTGCAGAAGTGAGAGGATCCCTCTTGTCCTTTGCTGAACATAGCATTTGTTGGATTTTCTTGGTGGGTCTGTAGATAGTTTGTATGTTGTGTTTCCTCATCAGCTTCCCTATGGGGTCAGTGTCACACCTAGCTCCAGCAGGGAAGAGCTCTTTGCCCCACCCCAGCCATTCCACAGATATATAAACCCATTGTCCTAATTTCCAACAGACCTCACTACCTCTGAGGATGCTTGCCATAGATGCAGGCGAAACGTCAGGAGAAATGCCTCTAGAACATGGCCCTATAGCCCGAAAAAACCCACAAGAACCTAGTGATTCCAGCCATGAAAGCCTTCGACAATACAATTATCATTATGTTCTTTAGTTCTGCCCCCTCTTCTGGGTTAAGGAGGGAAAAAGGGGACCTCTAGTTCAGTTCACACAGAGAAGCCTTTCGTACAGGACGTGAATCAGTTCCATCTGTAGAAAGATTTGTCTTTTACAGCTTTGCTTGGGGGGATCCAGTCTCACAGCTCTACAGATAACTACAGCATAGCCTTCGTTGGGGAATTTAGTTCCACAACTCTACAGCCAGCTCTTTGCTGGAGAAATACAGCTCCACGGTTTTACAGCCAGCCTTCGCTGGGAATTGAAAGCCTTCTTTCCTCTTGGAAATCTACCAAAGACTTTGCCTGGTAAGGTCTACTTGGGTCACCCATAACACAGATTGGAACCGGGAGTAGGGCCCACACCAGCAAAGTAAATAGATTGCCCAGGGAGGGGTCAAGGATTTCCCTTGTAGGAGGAAGAAACAGTTTATGAAGAAAGTTGCCTGTCCCTTGTGGACAAGATTGAAGCAAGCCACCGGTTGATTCAAAGCCTTGAAGTATTTGTTTGATTTATTGAAGATTTAAGCAACAATAAAAACTTTGTTGAACTTTCTAAGTCTTTAAAAGAACTTTGTATAGGGAAATCCGAAAGGCCTCTCAGCCGAGGCACCCCCGGCGTCCCGTTGGGCATTCAGAAAACACGTCCTGTCTACAGACTCTTTCACAGGCCCAGCGTGTGACAGCACACTGGCTTTGGCCTATAAAGCCCTAAACAGTTCTCGCCCAGCTTACCTGTCTGAACACATCTCCCCTTATGATTCTCCGAGGACCTTAAGATCGTCTGGAGAGGCCCTGCTCTCAGTCCCGCCACCTTCACAAGCACGGCTGGCGGGGACGAGAGACAGGGCCTTCTCCATGGTGGCCCCTCGGCTATGGAACGCCCTTCCTATGGAGATTAGATCGACTTCCTCACTTTTAGCATTTCGGAAAAAACTCAAGACATTGCTATTTGAGCAGGCATTTGTGAATACTGAGTAACGGACATAATAATAATAATAATAATCATCATCATCATCATCATCATCATCATCATCTTACATGGGGCCAAGCCCGAACAACAATTACAATGAAGAATGACCGAATGCAAACCAAAAATGCAAACAATAAACAACATCATAAATACAAAAAACATATGAATATACAACAATATAAAATTACAATAAACACAAACGCAGTGACAATGGGCAGGCGACATGTAATGGTTAAAAGAAGAACTAATTAAAACTGGTTAAAAAGCTCGGTGAGATAAAAGAGAAACAGATTGTTTGTGGAGGAGGGCTCATTATGGTGGGAGTTGTGGAATCAAGCTTTCCCACAGGGAGAATATATACTCCAGTAATAGAACATTGCATGTGAGGGATAATGTGGGATTGAGTACCTATTCACCAAAGGCGCAACGGAAGAGCCAGGTTTTGAGGTTCTTTTTAAAAGTGTCTAAGAACGGAATCAGCTACAAGATGGATTGGACATTGTTTTAATGAGTATTTATTGAATTGTGTTTTATTACAGCTGTTATGGTTTTATTGATGTTAAAGTTTTTATATTTTAACTGTGTTTTTGGTGGTTTTGAATTTTGCCGGAAGGCTGAGAGGGGCGGTATACAATAGGCTTGGGCGGTTGCATTCATTAATTTCGTAATTCGTTATTAATTCGTATTTAAATTAGCTTACGATCCAATATTGAGCCATGCAGGAATAGTGTGAGGAGTAAATTAGATTCGAAACAATTTTTTCAATTTATTTCGTAATTATTTCATAATTATTTCGTAATTATTTTCGCATGTCTGGTGCAAGTTTTATAGTTGTTGTTTGTTTTATCACACCAACAGTCAACAACAGAGGGAGAGGGAAGCTTCAGAAGTTCCCCCTGTCCCATTTGGAGGGTTTTTTTAGCATATTGCGCAATCTCGTCCGCCATTAACGAATCGATTCGTAATTTTACGAAATTTCGGAAATTTTGAAATTTTTAAAAGGAAAATTTCGGAATTATTAAAAAAAACGAAACGCAAGGGCCCCCTAAAAACAAAAAGAGTTTAGAACCAAATTTTTCCGTGGTTACCCAAGCCTAGTATACAAATACTGTAAATAAATAAATAAATAAATATAATCCAGTTCAAAGCAGACAATCTGGATTTTATATGCCAACATAGAAGGGGCCCCGGGCTGCTGGAAGAAAGATTTCAGTTAGTTCTGTTGCACTATGGGGAAGAAGACAGGGAAAAAAGAGACAGATATCAATGTATTGTGCAAAGCTGGAGGATGAAGAGGCAGCTAAGACAGGGGAAGTAATATTTATTTTGTGCAGACTGTGCAGGGCACTCTGATCATTTAGTCTATGATTAAATATTTAAACATCACATGACGGGGGACAAATGACAGCAAGTTTAGAAAACAAAGAAAGAGAGGCTACCTAATTTAAATGTTTCCAGCTGATTTTTATCCTGCTGCGTTGTTTAGTTTTCTACAAGGAGAGAGGCACAGAATCATACTGTTCTTGAAACTTGTATGGTATCACACCATTAATTGCTTACATTTTCTTTGAATTCTTCGGGGAGTGTCAGGGGCAGGATGGGGAACATGATTTATAAAATTTCAGCTGCCGTTAATTCAAAGCAGAAATCCCCCTGTCTGTAATAAGTATGGGCCATGAACATACTTTCCAAGCAAGATTAATAGATATTTTAAAATAATTTTTCACTAAAGTCATGATTACCACCCGCTGACTTATTACTTTTTAAAGCTTTAATATTGTTGTGTTTGAAAGGATGTTCTTCTCTTGGTTCTGTGGAAGTGGCAAGGTCTTGCCCTTTATTTTTTGAAAAGTTTTCAAACATTTCAAGTATCGTGTTAGAAAGATGTATTCTCAAAAACTTTAAGATGTACAACCACAAACTCAGCTACAGTAGTGTTCATAGTGCTGTGAAATTGAGTCCTAGAATATGGGGCGTGTGTTTGCTTGCTTAATTGGGTTCACTTACACTTCTGTATTTGTAAATTTTCCAGTCAACACTCTGTCATATTTTGCTTGTTATCTGATGAGCTAGTGCAGTCGGAAAGCAAATGCAAACAAGAGGATTACTTGAGATACGATGTCCTCATCGTTGTCCTCCTTTCCCTCCTCCTTCTCATCCAATATGCTCTTGGGGCCTGTCTATATTGGCAACATGCCCCAAACCTGCCCAGAATATGCTCCTCAAAGTCCAGGGACTTTGGGTCTCTTAACCTGATTATACCCCATGTTGTTATTTATTTCGTATCAAAAGGATTGCATAAATCAGGGGTCCTCAAACTTTCTGAACAGAGGGC